TATTATGTCTGTATAGGTCTTTTATTACGTTTTTTTTAGTTTTATTTAATTTGAGTTATTTTTATACTTCAACAAACTAAATGGAAAAATGAAATAATATATATATATATATATATATATATATATTTATATTATATATATATATATATATGTGTGTGTGTGGTTGTACATACACATATGTAGTTGTTGTTTGGCTTAGTGATATGTTAGAATAATTATTATACTCTTACACCTTTTGTTTTTTAATATTTTGAATTGTTTTTAGCTTTATTTTTTGTTTTTCATTTAAATGTTAAGTTTTGAAATTTTGTATGCATTTGTCATTTTTATTTAATCTCTTTATTTTTAAAATGTGTATAGGTTGTATTTATAAAGTTGTAGCTTTTAGTTTTGGATCTGTTTTTAGTTGTTTTAATACTACAATTGATTGCTTCTGTTGTCCTCATTTGTGAGTCGCTTTGGATAAAAGCATCTGATAAATGACTAGATAAAAATATATATATATATTAACCCTCAAATGCCCCTCATTTCCTGTTTAAAAATCTGGTCTTTGGGGTCAGTATCAGTGGCGGCTCGTCGGGGGAGGCAGGGGAAGCACAGCTTCCCCATAATTTTGAGGTGAAAATGGGAGGATGATTGAATGTTAATAAAATTCACAATTCATTTCATTTCATGTCTCAGAATGTGCCGTTTTTGTTTGTAATTTCACAGTTGTAAACTGGATATAGGCTACAGCAGTCGGCTTAATTAAATGGCAGCTCACTTTTAACACAGACTTTTATGAAGGGATGGATGTTTGCTTCAAGTGATAAGCCAGGTAAGTGAAGAAGTTATATTATCTTGCCGTATGCATGTCGTTTTCTTTACGTTTTCTGACTAAAAGTAACCAAAAAGCCATTTTAAAGTGGTTAAGCAAATAATAATAATCGGCAGGGATCCCAGACCAATACAATTAGTGTGCCTCCTCTATTTTAAAACCCACGAGCCGCCACTGGTCAGTATGAACCCAAAATTGATAGAGTAATTGTAAAAAAATATATACATTTTTATATAAACATTTTTTTTTGTTTTGTTTACTTCTCATCTATACATTAAAGCTGTGTTTTGGGAGATAAGTACTTTTGTACCTATTTACCACAGAATTCCTCAACTACATAATTAGCTTGCATGTGAAATATCACATTTTTATGAAAAAATCACTTAAATGATGACCTAAATTTGATTTAAGTTGTTTCTGTATATTGATATAGGTCAGGGATCCTCAAATCTGGACCACGAGATCCACTTTCCTGCAGAGTTTAGCTCTGACCCTAATCAAACACACCTGAGCATGCTAATCAGTGTCTTCAGGATCATTAGAAAATCACAGGCAGGTGAATTTGATCAGGGTTGGAGCTAAACTCTGCAGCGCATTGGCCCTCCAGGGCAAGATTTGAGGAACCCTGATCTAGGTGTTAGGTGTAGAATTCTGCCATCTGCTGGTTAGAGAAAAACTTGTAGAAATTAGCGTTTTTGAAAGAATAGTGTAATGCACATACAGTATATTCAGCAGAGGCCCATAGAGATCCATTCATTTTTCTGGAAGTGGCCAACTGCTTCTCCCACAACTTTTCTGATATATATTTTGTAAAACATTATAAAATGCATAAAAAAACAGTATTTTTCTCAAAGGTTAGAATTTTTTTGTTGTTGTTTGAAGTATTTTGAAGTGCCGGCTTTTGCAATAATGCCATATAAATTAGCAGAAATGCCACACAAGTTGTGACTGAAAAAAATATGTGCCTGCAATCAAGTTTTAATCTAAAAAGTAAAAATCAAATCAATTTTATTTTACTTAAATGTAAATAAAAACAACAACCCCCATAAGACCCTATATATATATATATAGCTCGATTATCTACACTCTTAAAATTTATGTTTTAAAAAACTACACAAAATGTGTTAAAAGAATGATAACACATGGTGTGTTACTACAAACACATTGGGCCTCATTCATGAAAGTTACTTTATCTCTTTAAAGTCAGCTACACTGAAGATCGTCATGAAACACGGCGAGACTAAACTACTGTACTCTCCAGAGGAAGCGCGTCAATTCCTAAGCTCGATTCCCGGTCCTCATTCTTCAAGGATGGAGGTGGCAGAAGGGTTTGTCAATACTGAGTGACTCACTCCTGATTTAATAATCTAGACTAGAACTACATGTGATGGTCATCTACTGGCAGTTTTTATTTTCATGTTGGCTAAGCTAGGAGACTTGGTATCACTAATT